TGCAGAGGAAAAGTAGCGCTTTTGTTACCGACGTAACCCGAAACAACATGACTCTGTATGGATAAAACTCGATAGTTTTCTCTGTTCATTTTTCAACTAACACCGGCACCAAAAACACGTGTTTATAAGTTAAATTCGGCAATAGTCTCGTGACTTCATTCACCAATGAGCCTCTTGCGGCAAATAACAGAACTACTTCCGGTTTTAAAAACTACAACCGCAGCGCCCTTACGACAAAAAAAAAATTTATTTATTAAATTTTAAAAAAGGGAGTAAATCCAAGAAAAATTTTAAATAAAATTCAGAAATATATTGGAATTTAATTATTTTTTCTATACGTTTTTCAATCAACGTTTTTAAAAATTGCTTTAATAAATTGGAAATGATAATGGAAATATTGGAAGCGGAGAAGTAGAAAGTGTCATATGTCATATCCCAAGTGGGATCAGATTTAATAAAGATTTTACACCTTATTGACATTTAAAATTTTTTTAAACTCATTCCTATCCTAAAAAGTACGGCTTTTCCTTTCTTATAATAATTAATAATTATTTAAAGACAAATGTTTCGTTTAGAAAATACTTACGTATTTGTTATTTGCACAAGAAGTCAGAACAAATCCGTTACCTGTTGTTACATGGAAATGTTAGTTTCTTAACTGTAAAACTCTGTAACAGCACTGAAAACTTCAAAAATTAATGCTGTCGGGTGTTCTTGGTTTGTAGAAAATTCTATTTCCAGAATTATCATAAAATTTTCTCACTTAAGCCACAAAACCACGTCAAGGTGACACCCACTTTGTGGTGGTTTTTTTTTTGTTTCCAGAAACCAACCCTACTTGCTAGACAGCGTAGCAAGTAGAGAGAAAAACTGGATCGCGCGCGAAGTTCTTATAGGTAAAACGACCAATAATGACTTTTGTCATTCTCTTTCCTCGTCCTCTACCCATTCCAATCCAAAAAATATTCCGATATGTATTGTAAGAGCTTTATTTAGCGATTATTTATCGTTTGGGATTTCGCAAGGATATAGACT